CAAGCAATCCTCCCACCTCGGGTCTCCCAAAGTGCTGGGATTGTAGGCATGAGCCACCCACACCCAGCACCCCCCTGCTCTCCCCCCTTCTGTAGCTTCTTGTCTTTCGTTCTGATCCTGCCCAGCTTGGAGCTCTTTAAGAGCAGTGCCCTTACCTTATTCATTATCACATCCTCAACACTGGGCCCAGGGCCTGTCCCAGAGTAATCTCTCAATAAATGTTAGTTTAATTAATGGGTGGTTTCCCAGCTCCTACCTACATCACATTGCAATATTTTCTCAGTTGACCTCACTCACTGTCAATAACTGTTATCCTTTCTGGCAAATGGGTCCTTCTAAATTCTGCTTGGAACATACTATCATTTTACTCAAATCCTTTCGGTGTTATTTGCTTATACCAGGGGTTCCTAGATAGTAGTTTAAGGAGATTATACAATCCTGAAATTTTATGTAGCCTTAGACACACTTTTCTTTTGGATGAGGAAGCACTAAGGCTTTTATGAGAGTCTCAGAAAAGTCCATGATACAAAGTGAAAACTCCAAGATAAAAAGCAGGAACCTCTACAATCTGACCTATGCCACTCCTTGGTTCAAGCTACCTGTCTGAACCTGTCTTGCCTTTCATATCTCTGCCTGTGTACTCATATGCAGAATACCTTTCCCCCTTTACTTACCTTATTTCCACCCCTCCTTTAAGTTTCCATTTAGATCCTACATTTCGTATAAAATGTTTCTTTAAAAGGTCCTAACCCTTGGGATTAACTTTCCTTCAAACATGTGTATAATAGTGTACATTCTGTTCTCTTGACGTTCAAAATTTATTTAACAGCTATTTTTTTTTTCTTTAGAGACATGTGCACTGTTACCCCACCTAGATTTTAGATTCTCAACAAATATTTATTGTTGATGGTGACAACAGAAAGCAATGTATCCTTCAGGTCTCACCTTGAATGTCACTTTCTCAAATAAATCTTTTTTTTTTTAACCCTACAGTCTAGGTGAGTTTCCTCTGTGACAAGTTCTCAAGGCTTCCCACACTTTTACCTGGCAGCACTTAGCACAGCTGGATTAAATCATTATGTGCTTGCTCAATTGTTTAACTTGCATCTCCCTCACCAAGCTGCAGGTTGGAAGCTGCAGGTCCCATGAAGGCAGTGACTATGTCTGCTTTATTCATGTCTATAGTCCTAGTATCTGGTACATGATTTGCCCTTTGAATGAATAAATAAATATACAGCAAATGCCTCATAAATGGTGCAGGCAATGGGGAGGTTCAGGCAGTTAAAAGAGGGAAAAATTGGCTTGAGCCGGAGGGATCGTCTTCAGGCAATGAACTGGGTGTTTTTGGATGAGTAGCAGTCAGTAGATAGAGGCGGCGAGGACACTCCAAGCTGAGGCAAGGTGGTAAAAAAATGAACAAACATCTGCCACCCACTGGGCTTCAGGCCATGTACTAAGCATTTCCCATGTACTTTCTTCTTTGGTAATCATCTTATGAAGTGAGGACGACTGTTATCCTCATTTTATAGATGTGGAAACTAAGACAACACAGAAAGAATTGATAACCTAGTCAAGGTTAATAACCACAAGTGAAGATACCATGATGGAAATCTAATTACAGAACTTGCATGAGTGTGTGAGAGTGTTAGTAATATTTTATTCCCAATAACTATTAGGGAAGAGGGGAAATGAGCTTTTAGAGCCTCTAAAGTCATGTTTTTAATTATAAAATGTAGCATAGCTAAAAAGGAATAGCTATGTTGGTGGGCTCTAGTGATCTTACTCATCTTACTCCTACACAGAGGTAACCTCTCCTCTGAATCATTATTTATTTCTTCATAGTTTTTCTACATATGATTCATTCCTTAATATAATTTTGAATTTTATGTAAATGAATCATTTTAAGGCTGCTTTTTGTCACTTGCCTTTTGTTCAAAATTATATCTGTGACATCTCATTTGTGTTAGCATGTGGTAGTAGTTCATTCATTTTTATGCAGTATTCCATCATAAGAATAAAACACTTTATTTATTCCCTTGTTGTTGAACATTTGAGTAGTTTCCAGTTGGGTATTTTCCATTTGGGTAGTTTATTGTCCTTAACAATGTTCCTGTGAACATTTTTATACCTGGCTCCTGGTGCATGTTGCTAGAGTTTCCTGAGGACATGGTTCTAGAAATGGAATTCTTGGAGCATTGGGTAAGTTTAGTGTCAACATTACTGGACCATGTCAGTGTGTTTTCCAACTTACATTCCCACTCTAGTGTTGTGTATGAAAGCATTCCTACCACTGCAAATCTCCACAAACATTTGGTATTTAAAAATTTTTGATGGGGTGTAAGGCGGCATCTTACTGTGGTTTAAAATTGCATTTCCTTATTGCTAATGAGATTGAACATATTTTCCTATGTTTATTAGTTACTTGTATTTCCTTTTCCCATTCTTGTGCAGGTTATTTGCCTGTTTTTCTTTTGGATACATTCCCTGCCCTTCCCTGCTTTGAATCCCAAGAGGCTCCTTGAATTTCCCAGACTCTCTTGCCCATTGCCTTCTGATTAGGGTCAGTCAATGGAACTTCATGGCCTTAGATGGGAGTTTGGGAGGGGTAGAACCCAGAATATTTCTTTCTTCTCTGCTTTGGAAGCATGTCAAGCAGTGGCTGAGTTTCTTTGTGGTTTTAGCTTTTGCCTGGAAGCCCCACCCTTTGTGCTCCAATTTCTACCAGGCAACACCCACCATGCTACTAGCTCCTTTTGTGGTTCCTTCCTCAAAGTTCTAGCTCCCACTGGGCAGCCCTGTTTCCTACACTGATAACATCATTTCCTGTCCCTCAGACCTCAAGGATGGCAGTAGCTTCTACTTATAGCTGTTCCTTTCTGAGTAGCCTCATTGGGACTTATTTTTAGCTCTTCCAATATTCCATAACTAGTTATTTCCCTATATTAAATTTATCCAATTGAACTACCTAGCATGGGTTTTGTTCTCCTTACTGGACTTTGATGATATTGATTCAACATATGAAATAATTGTACTTTGAGACAGCATCTAAAATCGAGTTAGATGTAGACAAGAAAAATGAAGCATATTCAACCACACGAGGAATTGTGGCAGGAAGAGAGCCAGCGTGGTGTGTGTAAAACACAGTTATGATGATGCCTGTAGATGGTCCCAGGTGTAGTAAGGAGGACCCAGGAGGCCCAGATAAGGGCTTGGTCTAAGAATAAATTTTAAACAAGTCCCACTATACCACAAGAATAAAGATCTTCATTTATTCCAGGTCATAAGTAAACTCTTGAGGACTATAATCATCGACATAGACCCCAAAGGGCAAATGTATGGTGATAACCACTTAAGAAAACAAAAACAA